ATACAGCTTTTGAAATTTTACTAGCCACATCCTCTGGTGCAGCGATAAAAAAATCGTTAAAATTTGTGGCAACAAATTATAGAATTATCAAACAAACTTATATTTTTCATTTTACTGTAATTATTTGTTAGCGTTGAAATAATTTGTCAAGCAGTTTTAGTGGGGTTATCAGAATTGCTAATATTATTTTTGTTGTAATCCAATTTTGTATTATTTACTAACTGTTTGTGTTGCTTTCTGGCAATTATATATTTATCATTGAATTCGGGATTAAGGTCATTTTGCTCTAAAAAAATGTTTAGGAAACCACCCCCATAGCGCAAGTCGTACCAGGAGTTCGAGTGTGATCTTTTGGTTGAATAATCAAGAGGAAGTCCCCAAGCAACCCTGAAAATTATCATGTTTGGATTTTTTTGCGGCCCCTATAAGCCGAGCACAGCTTTATTGGATTAAATCCGTTGTGTTATGTTTACCAATATAATTTCGCTAAGGTGCACATTCTAACTAAGAAAAAAAAAACAAAAAAGACATACATAAACTGGAACAACGTGTATTAAAAAAGGAGCAAATAAATAATTTCGCTGAGGTGCACATTCTAACTAAGAAAAAAAAAAACAAAAAAGACATACATAAACTTGAACAATGTGTATTAAAAAAAGAGCAAATAAGGGACTATGTTGATACAAACTTTCTGCCTTATTTTCGAATAACGAATTTTCCTACGAGTGGCGATATAATATTTTTGGAACACATATGTTGTATTAAATTGCAATACCCACTAACAGATGTTTTCACAAATAAATGCGCATTAATAAATTATGCGTGTAATTATTTTCCAGTTTTGCTTTAAAATACATCGTAGGTATTGTTAATAAATTAATACATAACTGACAATAATAACACGTAATATTAATAGAATTTCCAAACTGTTACGATTCAATTCATTAATATGTTTCAAACCTGAACGAATTAAATGAAATTTTTTAATTAGATTGTATTTGGATTTTAGTTGTCTGTCAATAATGCGCTTTTAGTAATGGTCATACGTCGGAAGCTAATGAGAATATTAATACAACCGATAATACAACGCTTTTAAATTAGAAACCAAAATGGTTTAATTAAATTAAACATTATCGTCCCCATTTTATTTAAATGAATATATGAGGTCTGTTCAGAAAATAACCGAACTTTTTGAATTACGCGCTAATGGAGATACTTGGTGATATGCGGTTGACAGTATTGAACCGTCCATTCTAGGTTTTTTATTATTGGAACCTGGCCGTAGGTGAATCTTAGTCCCTCTGGATGAATGTTGACTGAATTGAAAATCAATATTCATCCAAAGCTCAAGACCCAAGGCTACGACAAGGCTTTCACCATAAAAATTTATGGTATTGGAGAAAAGGGACTGTCAAATGAACCGGTAAGTAGAGATTCGCTGTCACCCACTTGACTACTATATCTATATTGACAGTCTATTGACAGTTAATTGACAATTGGTGCTACTCCATAACTTGGAAATCTTTACCTCAACCTTTTATACGGAGTCTCTTATGTCAAAAACTTTTAAAATCAGAATTCTGTTCATATCACATGATGAGTGGCATAAGGTTACCCAAAAAATGCCAGAAAACTTGAAATATCGCGAATTTGAAAGTGATTTGTGGAAAACCCTTGCGTCACAATTTTTTCTAACTAATTATTTGATACAATTGAAAAAATAGAAATTACCTATACATTTAAAAAAATTATAGTAACATGAACTAAACAAGATTTCAACACTGTTTTATGTTTCTTATGTATCACACAAATTATAGTATAATATATTCCTTTCATTTTGTATGTATGTATAATATAATGTTTTTAAGCATTTCAAACATCATTTCATATTCTATTGAGTGTCTGCTGTTTATTGGATCTAATGAATGAAAGAATTTTTAATATGGCTGTTTCTATCGACGTATAAATAAATAACTACGTTTCTCAAATTGAAATGGCGGACGAACTTTCTGTTCACGGTAAATTTAAATTTGCTCTTCGACATTCCCTTTAAAGTTCTTTTTGTTGGAAACAGATAATGTTATTCATTGGGTTATAACGGATTTCGCATCAGTCTAACGAGTCAGTACTCAAAATTGAATAAACAATTTGTTTTCTGCCAGATTTAATAGATTTTTTTCGTTCTCCATTTATTTATTTCTTTGTTCGTTTGTTTGTTTGTTTGTTTATTTAAGTTTGCCAGTAGAATTAAGGACACATTTTATAAAATGGCACTAAAATATTAGTTATTTCGCAGTTTTTCTGTAAACAATTCAGTATTTAAACTTATTAACCATGAAAACTTTAACTAAAGCCGAGTATACACCTGAGCACGAACAGATATGATGCACGAGGCACGACAATTCTGATTTTTAGTCTCGTCTACTCACTCTGTCGAGATGTATACTCGGCTTAAGTGGTTGACCCAAAATCACTGTTATGTTTACCATTTACATCAGAAATGGTGGTAATATTAAAATCTGTTTGTACTTATATGTATTAAATATGTAAAATAGTCCTCTGAATATCTTAATTATACTTTGCATTTTAACTAATGGTATTATGGGAAACATCTACTCTGCGGACTACTTACAACCCCATCGAGAATATCTAGTAATCAACTAAGATTATTCCTTAAGAAGGTTTATCTGATATGGAATTGACAAACAAATATTCATAAAAAAAAAATAATATAAGCTTATTAATATGAAGAAAATCCTCATAAAAGATTATGACTAGTTTGAATACCTAAGAGACGAGATATCAATAAACTAATTTTTCACGATTTAGTCTTATGAGAATGCAGATTTTTTTGGTCTTTCCACTTAGAATGCACAACAATTGACGAACAGTTTCCACAGCAACTTGTATAAATAGGAAACCGATATCTAAGGGACCAGCTCGTAGAAATCGATTACGTACTTGTAAGATGTATAATTTATAATAATTCTCCTTCAAACTGCTGTCGTTGACTAACTTAACCTCCAGTATACTTGATAGCGGCAACGCCGCGGTTCTCGACGTAGCGTATTATTTGAAATTCCCATGTGTAATGTATATTTCAAGTTTAGACATTGTAAACAACACGAAAAAAGAAGGAAAACAAAATCAAGAAGAATAATTTATGGAAATAAATAATTGACATATTTGCTCATGTCGACGTATATTTTTCTTGTAAATCTTTAGAATATAAATAATCTACAATACAAATTCGTATATGAAACGCATGTAAATATTTTTGATTTTCTTTGAAAGATATTAAATCTTTTAAAGTATCGCCAATTGAAAATATAACAGTGGAATTGTCTAAATAATCGATGCGCCTGACATATTTACGTCATAACGATGCATCTCTTTTCCTTGCTTTGTTTTCGTTTTACTTTTATGTTCTTGATCACTAGCAACTCGTGTAGTGCATAGACAATGTTGATACTGCATACACAGTCCACATACAAGCCAATCAGTTTTTCGTCAACTATACANTTTATTCCCCGTGCCTCCTCCATAGTCACTGCGATCCGTCAGACATAAATTTCCCTCCTGTTTTTTCAAAAATAGTTTTAACTGAAATATTTCGAAAAAAATATATTTTTGAAAAGAGAAAAAATTAACGAAGCTAAGTATGCACTAATATTTAGGGTGTTCCATTTAAAGAAAAAATTCATTAATTTAGTGATTTCCATTATTCAATTGTTTTTTTCTAATACTGCATTATAAAAATTCGTAAAAAAAAGCTAACATTTTTGTATTAAAAGCTTTTTTTAATTTCAGTAATAAAATCATAAGTTGTCAGATTATAGTGACTAACCCTGTACTCCAACAGTTACAAGTTTTATGAAATGTGTTTTTACAATTGAAAGCAAGTCCACTCTCCACAAACAATTAAAAATTTAATATATTTTTAATTTCCTAAAAAAATTATAAATTTTTCAGTAAATTTGAGGCTATCTAACGTCCAACCAATGAGATTTCAGTTATAGGCTAATTAGCCTAAATCGTGCTATTTTGACTCCACGAATATGAAGCCTTCTTCTTCTTGTACATACGTACTTACATGATACCCAATATATATTTTTTCTCTGAGGCTGTGAATTCAAACAACAATATAACTCTTCAACACAGAGAAGTCATTACTTATAAAGGGCGGAAATAAGATATTGTCGGCTTCCAAGGCTTTTGTTTTGTATATATAATATAATTAATTAGTCCAACTGTCTGCAAGATGATATACATTTGAAAGGCATTGAAGAAGTCCAATTTATTAAATTAATTGAAAATAACATACAATTTAATTTAGCGTGTATTAAACAGTAAAAGAAAAACTTTACAAAAGTTAAAAGTAATAAATCAATGTAGTCTAACGACCGTCTGAAAGAACGGCGCACAGTTAATATTGGATAAACCGTTTCAATGAACTAATATCTAAGAGTTTTTATGGAAAAACTTAGTCTCAAATGGAGGATAGGTATTTTCAAGTGACAGTATGAAACTTGCACTAGTAATTTAACTACAGCCAAAATTATATATTACAATGCAATAATTACTGCATTTATATAACATATATTTTATATTACAATACAATAATTTTTGCACTCCACTAAGAACATAACGCATAACTTTGATATCACGTAAAACTTATTTATAATAAAAATTACAAAAATTGTAATATACAAGTTTCTGAATACAAAATTGCATACGAATACCTACAAATATTGACGTCCAAAATTTTTTTTTAAGGACGCATTTAAAATTTTTTAAATTTTTTAAGTTGAACCGTAATATTTCATATCCAATTTAGAACACCCTGTCTAGTATACATTAAACCTCTTATTATTATTAAAATATTTATGGAAGCTGTTATTATTTTGTCCTAGTTCATAATACATGTTTGTAAACTCACAAATGACTATTTTGTTGTACGTGTTATGCATGAGTTAGCAAGTTAAATTTCATTGTTGCAGATGGTGCTTCCGGTAATTCGTGCATTCCCTTAGTGACTCCTTCAACCCTCATGCTTTCAAGTAGGGGCAGAGTGAAGCTGTGTCAAAGCCATAATGCTTTTGGAGACGGCCCACCTGCTCACCTGGCAGGCTATTTGGCACCTGAGTATAGGCCAAACAAGCAGAGCTCCGACACCGAAATGGAAAAGGTGAGTGACTTCGGATAATATAATCAGAGACGTTAAGATCTATCCGGAATATAAAGGTCTATATTCATGAGGTTTTACAAAACTTTTTAGAAGCGGTTTTACGTTTTTTCTAGATTAATGTAGTTCCGATGTCGCGATCGATTGATAATATCATAAAATTAGTGAGAGAAACAATGAAAAGGATTAACAGATTCTGGCAGGCAAATCTATAAAGAATGAGTAATACATTTATACAATACGCAATCCGAATATGTTGTTTCAAACTCGAAGATCTCTCAGAAAACGTGTAAAGTGTCTCAGTGTCAACGGTGGTTTCTTTGAACAATTACATTAAATCATAATTACGTATTTATTTGTTTTATTGTTAATTGTTGTAATAACACGAAGAAACACTTGGTTTGTTTCGCTTTTAATTTTTCATATTATCAAAACATAGTGTTCGTTAAACCATTTTTCTCAAAAACGGATCGAGATACCGAAATGAAACAAGAGTACATAATTAATGGAAAAATGATAGCTCTTTCAGGTTTTGAATCAAGTTTCATGTTAGACATACAGGGTAAAAAGTTATTAACTAAATTTTCGGTAAAATTGGTCGTAAGTGGCGCCCTCTATGAGCAATGATGAAATTACAACACGCATCTTATTCGTCGCCTAAAAAAATATAGTTTCACAAATTTTCAAGTTCCTAATCTAAACATTTTCAGAATAATTGCAAAAAAAAACGATTTAAAATTCTAACTTTCAACATCCTGTATTCCTTTCGGATAAGGCATGTTTGCGCCAATGGTCACCAATTCACGTGTAGTATCTTCAGCTTTCGACTTTCCCATTGTTAATGAATCACCCTGTATAGGTAAACAATTTCACACACCGTGGAAGAAGAAAAACACATAACTGTTCAAAATCTAGAATAAGTCAATATTTATATACAGGGTAGCCCATCTAAAACGTACCGCAAGGCATTACAGGGTAGTAAAGAACTTTTCGCCAAAATCCAAAAACAGGTAAAATTTTTTTCTGAGGGGGACAATTTTTGGCTCAAAAAGCATACTATAATCTTCAACCCCCTAAGTGGGGGTGCTATCCCCTAAATTTTTTCAAATGGGAATGGGGTCAAGTGGGGGGTCATTAGAAAGGGCTTTTAATTCTCTATACATCGATTCTTACTTTTTGAAAATCGATCCATTATTTTAGAAAATATGCAGCTTTGAAAATACGAACAATATTTTTGACGAGAAATGCGAAAATCGATTTAATTTTACTTCAAAACTTACGGTATTAGCTTGGTAAATTCCTTCAAAAGAATTCGCTTTTTTTTTTTCTGATTTGCGAATTCTTTAGCCTGATTTTGGTGAGCAAAAAATTGTCCGCTTTTTGTTTCGTATTTAGATAGGCCACAAGAAGTTGCTAGATAACTGTCTTGTGACTTGTAGTTGAAGAGTACCAATACTGCCGAGTCTTTTAAATTGATTAATTATGGTGTACTCAATTCCAGAAAGAGTAGAAATTATTGAGCTTTTTTTCAAAAACAATGAATGCGGAAATCGGGTCGCCGAACTGTTCAACCAACGGCATCCTGAGAAACATGCGTCTGGAAAAATTGTTCGCGAATTGGTGGCCAAATTTCGCGAAACTGGCTCCGTTCATAACAAAAAGAGGCAGGTTGAAAATCCGGTACTAAATGAACCTACGGAAATAGCGGTATTGGGGCAAGTGGCAATGGATAGTACGCTGAGTACAATGCAATTGGCTACTGCGACAGGAGTGAGTCGTACAAGTGTCCAACGAATATTAAAAAAATACAAATTCCATCCTTATAAGATTCGGCTAGTGCAAGAGCTAAATGAAGACGATTTTGATCGTCGTTTGCAATTTTGCGAAATAATGACTGAACGAGCGATAAACGATAATTTCCTCTTTAATGTGTGTTTTTCGGACGAGTGTACGTTCTTCTTGAATGGTTTAGTGAATCGCCATAATTGTCGTTACTGGGCTGATACCAATCCAAGGATTTTCCATGAGACACACTCCCAACACCCCCAGAAGTTGAATGTATGGGCAGGTATTTTTGGAAATTCCATTGTAGGTCCTTTTTTCCTTCCTGGAAATTTGACAGGCGATATGTACTTGGATTTACTACAAAATGTCATCGACCCAGCTCTAACAAATATCATAGAGGACGACCCTGCTTACAATGAACACGAACTGATTTTCCAGCAAGACGGAGCTCCTCCACATTACTCGCTCAATGTGCGCAATTACCTAAATGAGACGTTTCCAGGACGCTGGATAGGACGAAGAGGTGCAATTGAGTGGCCCCCTCGGTCACCCGACTTAAATCCTTTAGATTTCTTTCTCTGGGGGCACATTAAAAGCAAAGTTTACAGCACTCCACCTGATACCTTGGAAGATCTGCGAGGACGAATCATTAATGTATGTCGCGAAGTAACACCGCAAGTGCTCCAGAATGTTCGACAACGGTTTGAAGACAACCTGTATCATTGTATGCAAGTTGGCGGACAACATTTTCAGCATTTACTTGACTAATACCGTAAGTTTTGAAGTAAAATTAAATCGATTTTCGCATTTCTCGTCAAAAATATTGTTCGTATTTTCAAAGCTGCATATTTTCTAAAATAATGAATCGATTTTCAAAAAGTAAGAATCGATGTATAGAGAATTAAAAGCCCTTTCTAATGACCCCCCACTTGACCCCCATTCCCATTTGAAAAAATTTAGGGGATAGCACCCCCACTTAGGGGGTTGAAGATTTTGGTATGCTTTTTGAGCCAAAAGTTGTCCCCCTCAGAAACAAATTTGACCTGTTTTTGGATTTTGCCGAAAAGTTCTTTACTACCCTGTAATGCCTTGCGGTACGTTTTCGATGGGCTACCCTGTATAAGTACACTAGAAAATTTAAAGTTTTCAGGATTTATATTTACAAAATTATTCAAGAAAAAATAAATATATTTTTTTTATTTATTTTTTATTTTATTTTATTTTATACACCATCCAACAGAAAATTCCATTTACAGGATGGGTAAAAACCAGAAAAATAATAATACATGTAATAACTAAATAACATAATACAAAAAAAAAAGATGTATACTAATATACTTAACCTAAATCACCATGAATATAATGTATGTTCACTCAATGATTATTATTAGTTGACACGTTTGCAAATAGGTCTAAAGACTCTTGATTACAATGATTAAAAAACATATAATAAAATTATGGACAATATTAATTAGGCCCACACTTGGACAATAAAAGTGTGAATGTTAAAATTATATTAATTAAAAAAAAAATTGAGACAAATAGATGGAGAAAGTTAGCTTATCTTATGAGACAAAACTTTGTCAAATAGTCGAAAATATGGTCATTAATTAATTAGGAAAATTGTCGCGGAATGTTATTGGTCTCGGTCTCGCTCAGCAACATAGCCCTACATTGGGCGCCATATCGCGGATGCCTTTTAACCTCTTCCAGTTGGTGTCGATTCATCCTCTTGAATATTTCAAAAGTGGGGTGAAATTTTTTATTTCCCTCGCCGGTCCTGGTGGCTCGACAGTGTAAATTTGGAAAAGTCGGTAAATTTATCGGAAAGATCAGTGGTTTTTGTCTAGTGACATTTGAATGGTGCGGCGCTCGTTTGCGTGTCTTCAGACGTTGTGTTAAATGGCTTTTTGCATGGTTGAAGACCGTTCGTAGCGTTTGGGGAGCCTCGAGCAGAATTTCGAAACAACCGTTAATTTTGGAACATTCTTTTAAGGCTTGCAGAGCTGCTTAGGCGTGTTGTTGTAGCTTTAGATACATTCGTATGAAAAGTATGGGTTTCGAGCGTTTTGATAGTTGACCTCGAAACATCGGTGAATTTTAAATCTTATGTTCTACGACAGAATCTTTATGCCAAATAATAGTAGGTAAATATCTTTAAACCTAAATATTAAAATTGTGTAGGTATAGAGGTGTCAATTTGTTAAGAAGAAAGAAAATAGACATTAAAAGGCAAGCAAGAAAAAAAATATATATTTAGTATTATTTTTCGTTGCACTTTATCAAATTTATTAATTAATAAGGCCATTATCCATTAAACTTAAATTCGATCCTATTTTTTTATTTATAAATTTTTTCACTAATCTTTTTTGGTAATTTACTGCATTATTAAATATTTTAATCAATTCGTCTTCAAAATTAAAATCGTAATTCTGTCGGAATGATGAAAGGCTTATGCTATTCGCTACTATGTTTTGGGTTACATGACGATTTGTGAAACATACTGTATTTTGGTTTTGGTTTGTTGTACTTATCAATTACCAGACTACAAGAGATATAATTTTTCAACTTTCATAGAGTAATACAATATTTTCCTGCCGTTCTGCTATGATAAAAATAGCATGAAAATTACATTAATATTTATAGCCCTGAGGAATACTTAAGATACATTGAATTACTGACCTGGTAAGGAAGTCAAACTGTTATTTATTTGCCCTATTCCCGGTTACTATCATTATTTGTTACATTATTTGTCAAGAGCACGAAAATTTTGCTGATAAATTAGAGTTATAAAAGTTTAAGTTTCTACCTACCTAGTGTAAATATTTGCGGTTTTTATACTGTGTTGAGCAAGAGCCTTTCATTAGTTTTCTAAACTTTGATTATGGATATTTGTTAAATTATGTTATAAATATAATATGGATTTAGATATTTTCAAAACTTTCTTATTTTCTTATTTAATTTCAAATATTAAGTAACGTAACCATTAAAAAAATCGGGCTATACATGTCAAAGTTTTTCAGTTTTAAAAGTAGATATAGGTATTCAGAACCTGCTTGTCTCGAGATTTAGAATAAATTAATTTTAAAAATTTCACCATGCTTTTAGAAATGTTATATTGCCTTAAAATAGTCCTACAGATTTTTTCGTATTACCTTAAGTATTATTTATTGTATGTTGTATGAGCCTTTCACATCATTTCGGGAATATTTTATAAT